CTTGCTGGAATCGGACACACCTTGCCTAGCTATGTGTGAATATAGTATTAAGTAATACCAATTATGACTTGATAAAATCATCGTTTCAGGAAAGAATATGTACACCTGGATACCTGTTCGTGGTAGCTTTCCTTATCGTATTATCTCAAGCCAAGGGTAAGCTATTGCTTACTTCGATCATCGTTTTACTATTATCTTAAACCAAGTGTAAGTTATTGCTTTCTTCGACTATCGTTATTCTATCATCTCAAGCCAAGGGCAAGTTATTGCTATCTTCGACCTTTGTTGTACTATCATCTCGAACCAATGGTAAGTTATTGCTATCTTCGACCATTGTTGTACATCTCAAACCAAGGGTAAGTTGTTGTTTTCTTCGACCATCGTTGTACTATCATCTCAAACCAAGGGTAAGTTATTGCTATCTTCGACCTTTGTTGTACTATCATCTCGAACCAATGGTAAGTTATTGCTATCTTCGATCATCGTTTTACTATTATCTTAAACCAAGTGTAAGTTATTGCTTTCTTCGACTATCGTTATTCTATTATCTCAAGCCAAGGGCAAGTTATTGCTATCTTCGACCTTTGTTGTACTATCATCTCGAACCAATGGTAAGTTATTGCTATCTTCGACCATTGTTGTACATCTCAAACCAAGGGTAAGTTGTTGTTTTCTTCGACCATTGTTGTACTATCATCTTAAACCAAGGGTAAGTTGTTGTTTTCTTCGACCATTGTTGTACATCTCAAACCAAGGGTAAGTTGTTGTTTTCTTCGACCATTGTTGTACTATCATCTTAAACCAAGGGTAAGTTGTTGTTTTCTTCGACTATCGTTATTCTATCATCTCAAGCCAAGGGTATGGTATTGCTTTCTTCGACTATCGTTATTCTATCATCTCAAGCCAAGGGCAAGTTGTTGCAATCTTCGACCATTGTTGTACTATCATCTCAAACCAAGGGTAAGTTGTTGTTTTCCTCGACCATCGTTGTACTATCATCTCAAGCCAAGGGCAAGTTATTGCTTTCATCGACCATCGTTGTACTACCATCTCAAGCCAATGGTAAGTTTTTGCTTTATTCGACCATCGTTGTACTTTCTTCTCAAGCCAAGTGTAAGTTATGGCTTTCTTCGACCATCGTTGTACTTTCTTCTCAAGCCAAGTGTAAGTTATTGCTTTCTTCGACCATCGTTGTACTATCATCTCAAGCCAATGGTAAGTTATTGCTTTCTTCGACCATTGTTGTACTATCATCTCAAGCCAATGGTAAGTTGTTGCTTTCTTCGACCATCGTTGTACTATCATCTCAAGCCAATGGTAAGTTATTGCTTTCTTCGACCATTGTTGTACTATCATCTCAAGCCAATGGTAAGTTGTTGCTTTCTTCGACCATCGTTGTACTATCAAGTATGTTTAATGAAAAGTAGTTGTGGGACTAAAGTGATATTTGCTAACTATTTGTGAATTTTTGTTAAAGTGAAGCGTACATTTATATGCCAAGATGAAAAGACAACCCTTAAATGCAAAGCATTTGGAACTGTGATAAATGTCCGCAGTGGAGACTATGGTAGGAAAAACAAACACATATGTACGAAGCCAGAGTAAGTATATATCTCAAATGCATATGACAAGGTGATAACTGATAAGACATTCAAATATGGAAAATAAGGGGGATAAACCAATGTCAAACCGTGATCATGAGGTATTGTTCACTTTAACAAAGTATAAATCAAAACAAAATTATTTGTATCTTATAAGAATTCTGACTTTTCTCAATCGTAGGGGTTCGATATGTACTGAAATGAAGATAGTACCCTAACGCTAGTGTACTCCTTCATCATCATTTGCAACTAAGTAGACATTGTTATGTGTGTCAAATAAAATAAAATACATATATCACCTTTCGTTTACATTATGAAATGATGATTTGGTTTTGGTTTCGAGATTAAAAATCTGCATTCATACCCGGATGTGGATGGGAACCCAGCTGTTGTGTAATTTGTCTTCTTCTTTATCCAATAGATTTGGCTCCTGGTTGTATTCTGATACATCGTGCACAAGTAAAGACCAAACATTTCCTCTTCTGAAGAGTATTTGCAATGGAAAAGAAAAGTGCGTCGTCGACCAAAGGATTATAGTTGGAATAGTCGGAGACCCATGTATAACAAAGATCAGTTATGTTGAAGTAGAGTGGGAGTGTAAAGGTAATAGATATGTCCTCTGTTATCGACATATTTATCAATTCATCTTTTAAATAGTGATACTATTTTTTTTATTTTATCACATAAACCATTCACAAAGAAAATTCATTTATTCATATTTCAGCATTCATAAAATTCGCGAAATAGGGCGCTAGCTCGCAAATATGTTTCGTTCAGTCTAAGCTACACCATTCCCCGAACGCAAAACTCCAGACACCATCTATGTTGATTTTTAAAGTGGACGATGTCCGGATTCCTGCGCTCGGAGGCTGAAGTTACACACATTACGTTGATAATTTGCGTCCTAAACACCCGAGAGTAATGATCTGTACATGTCGTTTAGATATTAGTTCTTCCACGACGCACTCAATTTTAACGTTTGCCGCACTCGTTGCTTTGAATCGAATTCACTGTTGAAAATGACACAAACGGAATTCGATTCAAAGAAACGATATAACTTATAGATGATTGCCATTAAAACATGTGTTGATTTATATTAAAGATCGAAGGAGTGTCCCAGTGCCTCCTGGTTTAGCCCCTAACATTCCCCCACGCACAGTCCTCTGTTAAGGTGGTACAACCATATTACAATGTCGAAACAAGGAATCAAAGATGTAAAAATCGAGTCTGAGTCCTCTAAAGAAATCTCTTTTCTAAGGGAACTCGATCTGTTTTTATACATGTTCCTGGGCCTATGGTTAGTATGGCGATACTTGAGCACACTATAAATTAAAGTATACTTAATTCTGCCTTTTGGATACGTCGTAAGACAATTACGTTTATAGCGCAAAATAAATTATATTTTATATTTAGCAAGATATTAAGTATTTTAGGACACATTATTGAAGATTAATAAATGTGGCCTTAGGTCATTTGTCATAAAAAACTATATGATAACGTTGATGATATGAGCCCTCATGCCTGGATAAATTTTTTTTATTTCATTCTTAATTACTTGAGCTGTACGTTTGCGCCAATACAAAACTTTTAAACTACCATGAATTACTCAGTACAGCGTGTGCCACACCGGGTTACCACACCCCTTTTCCTTTCAACTTAACCGCTTGTAATTCGAGCATTTGTCATCTACTTTGTTTAAATAGGATGAATTCCTGGTTCTATCGGGATACCGCCTGTACCAGCGAAGATAAGACTTTTCCGCTCCTTAAAAAGTGGTGCAATGGAAAAAACAAATGTATAGTAGACTCACTGCGAATAAAAAGCATAGTTGGAGATCCATGTGCAATGATATACAAATATGTAGAGATTGAGTGGTTGTTCAAATCTAAAGGTACTGCAAGTATTTACTATTGTAATGTCCATACGCAATTAAAACAACTAGCCGAGATGGCTTGAGCGCCAGCACATTCAGGCTAGGCGATTGGGCGCCGTAACCACGAGGTTGCGAGTTCGAGACGTGTGTGCCCCTTGTGTTTATTCATTTACATTAAGTCTCATAGTTCAATGATTTCCAAAAGCAATTTACGCATTAATATTCATATTAAAGGAGATAAGCATCTCACTCAATTTGTAAAATGCACCAATCGTGGATTGTATGCTTGTCTTAATCCTCGATCTTACGTCTTGGTTTAAGGGAGCAACAATCCACTTGTGATATATTTTACAAACAAAACTTGTTCTCTGATAACATTGCATATCAATACATTTGTTTTTGATTGTTTACAGTAGCCAAAGTCTGTAACGGGCCTTCTGGAGTGAAATCAGTATCAAGTCCAAAGCTAACACAGGTATTACTCAAATCGATCAAGCATGGAGGTTTAGCTTTATATTTTCACTTTATTAAATAACTGCCCAAATAAAGTTGGTCGTATTGATATTGGTGGAGACCTAGGCAGAGTGGATCTAGTCTATAGACGGGTCATTTCTTACCCTGCGTGCAGAGTCTAGTTATAAACTACCGAAGACGAAGATCTCTTTTAAGAAGCGAAATCGAACGAATGCAAATGGTACTAAGTAATTTCTTCTATTTTTATTAAGAGTTTTGATAACAAACTGTCCACGTCGGTTGTATTGATATGGGTGAACAGCAAAGGGATAGCAGATCCAGTCCATCGATGGGTCATTCCTCCAGGAGGCAGAAAGGTGTTGACGACATATTCAAAACATTACTTTGTCGCACAGACAGTTAGTACTGCTAAATGGCTGAAGATTAAAGGGAAGTGTTTATATGTCCCGAAAGGTGGTGTTGTTGATATAACGTACTGATTCGACTTTAAGTCCTATACTGTAATAAGATATAAGATTTATATGAAATAAAGAAGAAGTTCACAAATAATGTTATATGTTGCTGTGTTGTAAACTCGAATGAAAGCTGTTCCATATTCACAAGTTCCGGGAAAATTTCTCCAGATGATAGAGATTATCATAAGATGTTTTTTCTTAGAAAAACATTGAAACTATTCGATACAATTTCGATATACTATTTCAAATACAAAAGGTAAAGACAGTGACTTTGTCTACGCCCATGGCTACGTTTGTTAGATGATGATGTTAGATGTGTATATCAAACACCTTGATGAAACATTATTTGGTTGCTAGAGATCTTCGAGATTTTGTTTGGGATTTTTTGAAATCTCGCGTGACTTTTGACTTTCTATGGAGGGCGCCGTATTGTAGAAACCAGGATGTATAGGGTGTCTGAAAAAATGTAACCAAAATTATATCAACAGGATAGACAAACCAATCAATATTTTCAGACATTTTTGCATGGTCTTGTAGTCAAAACATGAAAAATGTCCCCTATACACAGTTTTTAAATCAGTTTTGCCTTTTTGATACTTTAACCCTTTACCTTTTGCACCACATAGTAGCCTGGCCAGAACAAGTCATGCCTCTCTATTTTCTCAATAACTATCTCAATTTTGAATATTTTTTCATGAAATTTTCACAGTATAAACTTTAAAGAATTCCTAACATACAAATTTTTTATATGGTAAATGCCTTATTAATTTCATTGTTACAACCTTTTAAAAAATAATGTCATATTCTGTTGATGGGTCATTTTTGTCGCCATTTTTTTTCTAAAAAGATACGAAAAATCTAAATTACGTTTTGTCCTAATATACAGATTGTCTTATTCTTGGTGTGAAATACTGTCTGCTGTCTTCTCTAAGGTATGCATAAATATTTTGTGATGTTTGCTTGGTATTATAATACTGTTTTGATGGATTGTCCTTTGAATTTTTTGTAAAAACCATCTCTGTGAATTTTCAAAATTTAGCAGACGACTGATTTTTGAACCTCAGAGTTTGAAGAGCTCCTATTTTGAGGAGCATATTGTAATTCATTTTTAAGGCTAAAATTTTATCTAAAAAATTTGTATGTTAGGAAATCTTTAAAGTTTATTCTGTGAAAATTTCATGAAAAAATATTCAAAATTGAGAAAGTTATTGAGAAAATAGAGAGGCATGACTTGTTCTGGCCAGGCTACTAATCAATGAAATCTCATATTTCAATGACAGTCTGCATCCTTACTACTACATTGTTCATCACATTTGATATCCCTGGTGGAATGTTCAGAGCTGTCAAGTGTCCCGCGAATGGCGGGATTATCCCGCCAATTTGATCAAAATTAGGCTAATTCGCGTGTCCCGCATTGTCCCGCGAAGTCCCGCAAAATGTGGCTTGGACCTCCGCGAATTTCCGAAATTTGCAATCCCCTATATTTTGATTATCTTATCTTATATCACTTTTGAGGAGTAAAGTTTACCTAATTTTAAGTACATTGTTTGGTATCAAAATAAAGGGAAAGGGTTCAACTTTCATTTTAATTACGAAAATAGGGATATAGGTCACAAATAGTTCCAACGTTGGCCTTTTTACTACCCGTGTGGCCTTCATCTCAGAACTGAGCAAATGTTAGCAAACGCGAGTTACAATAAATGGACGCTGATATCTAGAAAGGGTTTGTATAAAAAACCGGGTACCGGGTAGTAAATCCTCCATGCTGGGTTCAAACTTGGTACCCGGTACCCGGTCAAAAAATACGGGTACCCAAAAAACGAAAAATACGAATATATAACATAATTAGATTATGAGAAAACGTGTTAGATTTGTTTTGAATTTGCAAAAATGTATGTAACATGATTCAAAATTGAGCTAGAAGCTTCAAATAAAAAGCATATTTTAAGGCACTTTTCTTCCTCTATCGTTATGGCCATATTTTCATTGGTTATGGGGGGGGGGTGCACCATCGCACCCTCTCCTGGCTACGCCTATGACATTGTAAGACATAACAATTTACAATTCAGTGGACATTTTGTCATAAATTGGGATAACTTAAATTATGATTAATAATCAAAATCTTACACGTTGCATCATGTAAATTAACACACGTCACCTCTCTGCTAAAGCAACGATAGCAATTTACAGATTTAAATCATAATCAAAACAATTCACGTACCAACATACGAACAATTGAAAGCCCATGCCTACAGTATATGAATAGGTACATTTTAATATATAACATTATGGGGGTAAGCGTTTCATAGTTGGTCACGACGCCAGAAGTGCAAAGTATTGTTCCGAATTTTTGAATTTCGTGTTAGATTACGGTAATCACACCTGAAGCATGGTTTTTGTTTTTGATAAATTACAATAAAGTTTAATAATATTCCTATGCGTATTTTGTGAAATTGTGTTGACGTTTATTTAAGTTACAATGTAACGGTGCATTATATTTGATTAATCAGTATCTGAAAGTTTGATTTAAGTACTTCTACACGCTTTTACATTAGTCCCAATCACGCAAATCCCTTGAATGTCCCGGGACATCCTGCAAATTTAGGTGGATGTCCCGCGAAATCCCGCAAATTTAGGGCACTTTGTCTAAAAAATCTGTCCCTCTATGAAGTTTTTGGTGGTACCCCTGTTAACTGTCCCGCAATTAGGGTGTTTGTCCCTCGAATGGTCCCGCGAAATCCCGCGAATTTGATAAAAAAAATCTCCTATTAGCGCAATCACGCAAATCCCTTAAATGTCCCGCAAAATCCCGCGAATTTAGTAGATGTCCCGCAAAATCCCGCGAATTTTGGGCACTGGGTCTAAAAAATCTGTCCCGCGAGAAAATCTTTAGGGGTTGACAGTACTGAATGTTTTGATTTCTGTTCGGATGCTGGTCTTAAGTCGTTCTAGGTCTCTTAACTTGGGTTTAGCATAAAAATGGTCCTTCAAATAGCCCCAGAGAAAAAAGTATGGGCCGTCAAATCTTGGTGAATAGGGAGGCCCTTACGATGTCTTATAGCCCCCTTATAAAGAGAGGTCAGAGGCTCAAGAAACTGCATTGGTTGGGATTCTAGTGCCGCTTTTGTTGTGTGTCGAGGGGCTCAATCAATTTTCATTTGGATATCATTTGGTCTCCAGGCTAGCCTGCGTAAGTCTGGAAGGTAACTCCCGAATCATTTGCCGATAATTGACCTGATCCTCTGTGTTTGTTCTGCCATCGTCATATTCAAACATCATTCTCTGTGGCTATTTGAAGGAGTGTTCTGATGCTCATTCCAAGCAAAAAGACCTAGAACAACTTAAGGGCAACATCCAAAGAGAAATCCAAAACATTCCAACGGCATTTTTATCAAATGTGATGAACAATGTAGCAGTAAGGATACATGCTGTCATCTAAATATGAGGTTACATTGATTATGTTGTCATCTAAATATGAGGTAACATTGATTATGTGGTATAAAAGGTAAAGGGTAAAAGCATCAAAAAGAAAAATGGTGTTTTGGGAAAACTATTATGTTTTGGCTACATGATCATGTAAAAAAGGTCTGAAAATATTGATTGGTTTAATCTATGCTGTTGATATACTTTTGGGTACATTTTTTGAGACACCCGATAAATGTCACGTGACTTAAAATCTCGCACCCTATGTGAGGTGCAAGTTGTTTGTGACAGCTTATGCGAGCGGGAACCATCCTATGCGAGTTTGAACTCAATGCGTGTGTGAAATTGATACGTTCTTTCGAAATTTACTTTGATCTGTGTGTAATTCTTTCAGTATTCTATTTAATTCATAACACGATCCGTGTGACATTTCAACATTACTTTGGATTTTTTCAAATTGATTCGAGACAAGTGTAACTCTTTGTGTGACACGTGATAGAACCAGTGAGTGTGTGAATGGAAATAAGTTATGTAAGAAAATTAACTGTTAATTGGTATAACATAGAATGAAAATCACATAATTATGATGATGCGAGTTTCGCATATGATGATGCGTATTTCGCATATTATGATGCGAGTGTCAAATCATATAGTTCGATTGTCGCATCATATTATTCGACTTTTCAGATTGATCGTATGTTGTCAAATTTTAATACAAAATAAATTACATACTAGTTTGACCCAAATTATTCTCCTTAAATGTGCGTGGAGCATCTAGGACTTTCCATCACTTGTTTTTATCTATCCACCAAGAGCTGAACAAATCCTTACAGAAAAAATTAATTAATTACTGCAAATTAATTTCAATGCTGGACAAGGAGAGACAATATACTGTTTCATTTGTTTATTTAAACGCCCATCAAACTCGAAAATAGGTAGACTAGAACATTTTTATTGACGACATATAACACAAACATGCAGATAATAGATCTTATATCAAGATTGTACCAAGGTTGTTCTGAAATCATAACTGACTATTAATTCATAATCAACATTCCGGAAGATTCGAATCATATCTCGACCCCTTCTTGAATGTAATTTTTATTGGAAATAAGACCAAAACTCGCGATTCAAACTCTGAAGTGAACAAAATGGCGGCTGTTTGAATTCGAATGTTGTAATCACGACATCTCCATATATGGCAAGAACTGGAAAGAACGGCTGAGAACTAGTTTAGTATGATGGGGGGGGGGGGTGAATGAACGATTTCAACAGTTTAAAAGATTCGATGCAAGTCCAAGTGTTTATACGGAATGGGTAGTGATATACTTTATTGAATATATGAAAAACATTTTTGAGATGATGAAATGCGTCGTTCTAAGGTTTAGTGTTTCACTATTAGACTTTATAAACAGCTGATAGTTTTTATCACTTCTTTCGATGTATTGAATTTTGATGTATTTATTTCTTTATTGAATATTTGTTTCAATAATCTGCGCTGTTGAATCAGCGCATTATGATCGAACATATTGTAACGGATATACAATTATCACATTTTCAGTTTATCACGATCAGACAATTGAAAGGAAACATAATCGTCGGGCCTCGGTCTTGACATTGAATTATGCTATCAAAGGCGATAAATCCGTAAAATACAACTAACACTGTTCCAGAATGCGCCTGGTTAGTATGATTAAAGACCATAAAGTCAACAGTCCTTTAGACGTGTTGACCATGGGTAAATTCAATACACGCTTGCCTTTTCAGCACATTTCAATGTGATATATCTTTTATTATTGTTCATAATATTGTCCTATTTTATCAATGTTGAGACCGGTAGAAACTGATAAATTTGATGATTTCAATCTATTGTTCCTATTACTATATAACCCCCGTGATTTCTGGGTGCAAATCACGCAACATTGAACATGATGCTTCGTGGTAACTTACTTGTGGCCATTCTAGCCATAGTGGTGGCAGTGCTAGGTAGGGTTTTACTTGTAATTTATTCATATAATGATTTAGATGGTTATCATCTTATTAATTTGAGTTTCATGATTCTGTTTTTACTTAAGTTTTTAAAAACAGTGTCAACTTTTTAAGTTTTCCAGGCGTTACTATGGTATCTTAATTTTATTTCATATATTTGAGTTTTAAGTCGGGAAAAATCAAATTCGACTATAATATAGTTTCAACTCTTAAAATTTGCAAGACGTCATCATTGTATTATAATTTATTTCATAATTTTGAATTATAAGTAGGAATAACTCTTCCACATTTTTAACTATCAAATTTCAACAATAGTTTCAATCTTTAAATTTGCGAGATGTCATCATTGTATAATAATCTATTTCGAGTTATAAGTAGGAATAACTGTTCCACCTTATACGCTATTTTATTATATAGTATCAGCTCTGTGCGCGGTGTTACTATTGTATCATAATTTTGAGTTTAGCGTTATCGATTGTTTCGTCTTACTAAAGGATGGGTATCGATATGGCGAACTTTTTGAACACACGTTTCTCTTAAACCAGTCATCAAAACATTTTGAATGGTAACAATATAATTTGAAATAGATATACTTTTCTCTATATTGTTTTAGAAAACACATCGGACACTTCTTTGTTCTTGGTATCATATGTTCGGAAATATAATTATTTCATTTTCAAGAAATGGTAAAAAGGAGCAAAAAACAATTGCACTAAAAAACAGAAAATGTTAACAAAAAAAAACAGTTATATAAAATATTTATAAATTATTTTTGCATTAAATTGTTGTCAATCAGTCGACGTTACATAAAAGACCTCGTTTTTTACAGAATGTTTACAATAATTATTTTAAAGAAAAACATGGTTTAATTCAGTTCTCCATATCGATACCCATCCTTACTCAATAAAAAATGAAGTCCTCACTTTTTACTTTATCAATTCTTAAAAGCAATATTTTGGTGGCAGTGTTTTGCTTTTTATCGGTACTAATTTTACTTAGTGTCCAAAATATACAACACTTACTTTGTTGGCGAAATGGCCAGAATTACCAACACGGAACAGGTCGTAATACCAACATTTCTATTTCTAGTCTCGGAGGGAATTGCTACAAGGTATAAAGCTGTTAAAAAAGTTAGAGTTAGAGTCTTTAAGCCTTGTGTAAAACTTTGCAGAAAAGAAGGACTTGGAAAGAAAAAGTGTAAATCCATCTGTGCACTAAAACAGGTATTTACTAAATTATATTCATCTGCACTTTTTATTTATTCCACGTACATTAAAATGTATGTCTTGAACTGTTTGCTTTTATATTACATCTATTTTTAAACAGACAGCTTCTCTTCATTAATTATCTTCATTTGTAAATAAAACAACATTTCACTCTCGTTAGAGAGAAATGAACGTTAGAGGCATGAACAGAGAGGACATTCATGCAAATACAGGGCTTCATCATCTACGTACATTGCTTCCAATAATAGAGACGTCAAGTTACACGTTTTTTGAGAGAACCAAGGGAAAGATCAATACCCGGTGATTTCAGCGGGAAGTGGCGTTTCGTTCATTGGATGAGCTGCGCGCGCACGCATAAATGTGATTATCCAATATAATTAGGGGAGGGCTATTTGAAGTAGCTTTTGGTCTCAGGCGCGACCCAGGGCTGTTGTCTTAAGGACATTTCGTTGAAAATGAGCCATTCGGCTGATAATTGGTAAGAGTTTGCGATCTTATAATGTATAACTGTTACTCAGACACATATTTTGACACGATTCTGTTGGAAATAAGCTTTGAACCGAGAGATATTCACGATTGATATGCACATTTTTGATTGTGCCATTGCTTTTCTATTGCACAATCCATGTATTGATAGAAGAAACATTAATAATACAGATTGGTTTACCTTCAATACATGGCAGACTTAAATAGTTTTATATTTCCATCCACGGCCTGGAGCCTAGGTGTGTTTGTCTCTTATGTGTATGCTTGTGCATGGACTTCTAATCACTAGCAGAATTTAACATGATGCAAACTCGACATTATAACTCATGCTGTAACATTTTGACTTCGCTGGAAAACAATAGGAATTATTTTTCTTGCCAATCAATCATGAATCACAATCAAAATTTCAGAATGATCAATAAGGCAATGGTCCAAATCAAGTTATAACATTATATGATATTCAGCAAGAAGTCCGGTAGAAATACAGAATATTTAAACGTCAAAGCTGAAAGTTAAAAGCTAATCTGTCAATTTTCTGTCTGCAAAAGAGCGTCCCAAGAGCGTTTACATTTGACACAATAACAGACTGAGGCTTTGAAATCTAGGATTTCCCAGGAAAATATGACGTCATACTAATTAGCATAAGGATTTCCCTATTGGTGTGGGTCGAGCCTTGTTCGAAAACACAATCCATAAATACATGCTAATTTCTAAGGAGATAGGAAGTGTATAACGTGTTTATCGATTTTGTTTAAAGATTTAATCAATTATCAAATTGTTTAAGAGGATAAAGTGGTCACACTTGCTTCAATTCATAGCGAAATCGACGGATAGAAACTGACCGAATTCCCGATATCCTACCCCGTATTACTGTAGGCTATAAGCACAGTGACCTACAGAGGGCGCTATCACAAACAAGTACTGGACGAACCGATAAATTCCCGGGTATTGTAACGCCCTTGAGAGAACCTGTACGTGAGCGTGTAATATTTCGACCCCAGGGTTACGGTCCCGCTCTCAGTTCACTTTCCGAGGAACCTAATTACATTATTTCCGAATACCTTTAAATTCAATCGGCCAGGTAAACAGCTGTAAGGGAGTTCTAAAGAGGACCATAATTCTGCCCGTTCGTGTGGAATTAAAAAATGTGTATACCAGAAACAACGAAAGGGCATATCGTCCCATTATTTCCACATTGTTATAACTCACTTTTTACAGGTTTTGAAATAAGTATACTATATCTTTATCAATTTTTCACGGGGAATTCATTTCTGAGGTCCAATTCAATGGATCTCATCTCCTTTTGGAGATATCCAGTGCCACATTGTTAAAAGTGCAAAATGAGGAAAAGGATTTAGGCCCACCTTGTCATATCCGTTTGGGTAGGCAGCAGAGCCAATCAGATACATAATTTTGGTCATGTGATTAATAGTTATAACAATGTGGAAATAATGGGACAATCTCTTACTAGTATAGTTTGAAGGTAATTAACAAAGGAGATCGTAAATCATGACGCCATACATGTAGTGCAAACAAAAGAAAGCAGATTTGACATTATTTGTAACAAAAATTATTGGCCCTGTTATAGCCTTTTTACCTTTGTCATGTACCTTTTAAAGATCTGGTGATTTATCCAAAATATTTACCATTTTCGCACTTAAGTTGTGTTGTTATGCCACTGGACCAATCATGATCAAACTTGTCATAGCAACTAATCATATATAGATACATAATCCCTGGAAATATGAATGTGATTGAATGAATATAACAGAAATTATTGATGATTATCATAGTACCCCCTCATAAAAGTAGCCAGGAGGGTAAATGGGTATAATTCGCAGGCGATATGCATAGCTTAGATTAACCGATTTATATCCAAGGAGAAATATAAAAATACTAATTGCAAACTTCATACAATAATGGGAACCAAAATAACATACGTACGAGTAGTGTATATCCCTATGTAATGCCTGGGTCACATTTGCTCTGATTTATCGCCCAGCGCCCGGTCGATTGAGTATTTTGTTCAAACCTGAACCAAATACCCAATCGCCCGGGCGCCGGCAGATGAAGAGCAAATGTGACCCAGGCATATGCAAAAAAAACAAATCGATTTTGCTACTATTTGTTCTGTAACAAGCAAATAACCTACAGCTGAATGATCATATGAATAATAAATATTAATATATTTCCTTGTCAATGTCCTTTTGTAGGGCTATACCTGTGGTGGTCCCTGCTGGAATAGTTGCATTAGAACTGAAGATGCGCCACCTACATTTGTGCTTGAGTTTTGTATGAATAAATGTGCATCAGGCTCAAGTCCCCCTCCATCCCCTCCTCCACCTCCAACAACACGAGGTTAGTATCGTATAACTTGCGTAAATCATTAACCTTTTCTTGAGTAGGGTCATTACAACTTGGTTTGCAGGTGGTACACGCCCTAATTATACCATCAAATTAATGTGCTATAAATAATCGTGTGCTAGATATTCCATATTATCATTGAATTTTTATGTCGTAACTTGGATTGTGATCGGTATACATGCCTTTATTACACTGCGAGGTGCCTGATAATCATTTAATTACAGACTCGCACATCTTTATTATTTCGAAATTTTAATTCGAGATTTTGAGTGTATAATACATATCTCACGGGGTACCATCGAATAATTTTGGCAACGTACCGGAGAACGACATTTTACTAAGAAATGGCAATAATTTAGCACACTATATTTTTTAACTAGAGTTCTACTTTGATTTTGACAAAAGTAAGTATTCCATGCAATGGCTATTTCATTCATGAGTTTGTAGGAATTCTGTTGGAACCCAGTTCTGATCAAGTACGAAGTTATTGAAATCGGCGCAGACGGACTCTACTCCGAAAGATGGTTTTTCGATTATAACTTTTCACAACATTTAAAGTATAGACTTTTGAAAAAAGTACAGAATAGTCCTTATACTTTTGAATAATTCTGTTATTTCTGATTCACACGACTCTGATTTGTTCAATTAAAAAAAAGTTTTAAAAATATTACTTAGGAACGTAACCGGAGCTGGGAACGTAACCGGAGCAGATCAGTTGAATTATTTAATCAAAAAAATTAAAATATATGATTTAAAGCACATATACTAATTTAAAAACATACGGGATTGTTCGAATGCGTATTTATTACATTTTATTTAAAGAAAAAAAATTATCCATTGTGAAAAATCAAATTTGGTATTTACCATGCATAAGTGCACTTACCTTAGAAAGGCTATCAAACATAGAACAATCATTGTATACCCACGGAAAAGTTGTATTTGAATGTCCCCATTGTGGAAAAACATGGAAGAAAAGGGCAAACATGATCAATCACATTAAAAAAAATCACTGAACAATTTAGGAATTTATTAACTCATGAAAAAATAACTACTTTATGGCATCACTTTTGTATTAGGCCTATTTGCTTTTAATTAGCGATGCGACTGATGACTGCCTCTTCTTTGTTTGACAGAACTTTGTACTATACATGTATCTCATTGTGTTACTTCCCAGCTTCCCACTGAAGCAATAACTATCAGAGAATTTTTTGATACTCTAAAATATAAGTGCAAAAATATATCTTCAGAAGATTTATATGTTTTGCCATGCATTGATTTTCCTGTAAGTGAAGGGTAATAAATGCTCATTTTAACATTCATATGTGTTTGTAAATAATATATATGCTTTAAATTATATAATTCAACTGATCTGCTCCGGTTACGTTCCCAGCTCCGGTTACGTTCCTAAGTAATATTTTTAAAACTTTTTTTTTAATTAAACAAATCAGAGTCGTGTGAATCAGAAATAACAGAATTATTCAATAGTATAAGGACTATTCTGTACTTTTTTCAAAAGTCTATACTTAAAAGTTGTAAAAAGTTATAATCGAAAAACCATCTTTCGGAGTAAAGTCCGACTGCGCCGATTTCAATAACTTCGTACTTGATCAGAACTGGGTTCCAACAGAATTCCTACAAACTCATGAATGAAATAGCCATTGCATGGAATACTTACTTTTGTCAAAATCAAAGTAGAACTCTAGTTAAAAAATATATTGTGCTAAATTATTGCCATTTCTTAGTAAAATGTCGTTCTCCGGTACGTTGCCAAAATTATTCGATGGTACCCCAGGTATCTAAGATTTCATATGCTTTTTTGTACTTACGTTAGCCTTTTGAAGGTAATTTTATGTCTGATACCTGAATAAGCTAATGACAGACTGTGTTTCACGTGTTGATCTTTTTGACAGTATGTAGATGGAGTGCCTGGAGTGTGACGCAACAAGGCTCTTGCTCAGTGACATGCGGTACAGGAACAAGAACAGAAACACAAACTAGGACTAAGTTGTACTCTTTTTCGAATACCGGAAATCCAGAGTGTTTTGGGTCAACTATTAAAAAGCGTGTCGTCTCCTGTACGAATCCACAATTTCCAGTTTGTCCCCAACCGCCTCCGCAAAGACAAGGTTAGTTTTAAAGTTCGGACATATATATCTAATAGTTTAGTTTAGTTTATTTATTTATTTAAAGTTGTCAATCTTAAAATTCAACAAATTAAGGGCTAATTATCAACCACTGTAAACAATAACAAATACAACTTTAATACATGGAAATTAATAAAATAATATCATAATAATAAATGAATTGCCTTCTCCGCAAGAAAGCCATTTTGATAAATTTAAAAAAATTACAATTGTGTTTCCTAAAACGAAATTCAATTTTGCTAACTTCATTATCCACATCTTAAAATTTGCCTCATCAAATTATGTTTCTTAGGTCATCATATTTATTACAAATCAATGGAATAAAAATATATTTCTGTTTCAACTGAATTATTACTACACGACGTGCATAATCTTTCTTCCACGGGTTCTTCCTTAAATCTTCATGTCTCTAACATAAGTGGCAAAATACCTCATACAAAGTACATACTTCATACACTTTATCAAAGCCTACATACACATAAGTGCTCAACTTAGGGCTTAGCCTTTATTGATACTTCCAATGCTGGCACATATTTTGCTAGTTTTGCGTTTAATTAGAAGTGTTACAAAGTTTAACGTTGACAACTTGTTCATCATCAAGTTCCATATCTTTTGATATGAAAATATCTCTGATACCTAAATGAAAGACCCAATTGAAAAGGTTAAATAGTAAAATGTATTTAATAAATAAAATTAAATATGAATGTTAATAGTGTTGGGAGTGGTGGCTTAGACCATGTCTTGAGACATCACCTATTATGAACTCGCATGGTCATGCAATCTGTGTCAATTGGTTAGAGGTCTCGTTGATTGGACCTGGGAGATATGGTCTAGTATCTAAGTTTCCCCAAACCATCGTCAGTTCTTATGTGACAGGTAGAGTATATTTAGTTGATCCTAGGATGATGCCATTAGTGGTGACATCTCCTATTGTCATTAATGTAGAGAGCGGCCGGACATCTCGATCCTGTTGCGGATCCTCTCCCTTGTTGGTCATAATAAGGGCCCAAGATGTTTCGAACTCATGGGGGTATTCCATGATATGTTTCTCATCAGCGGCCAAAGAAAAAAGATTAAGAATATAGTGAGGGTTACTTTTTCCTGTTCAGGTTACGCGTTTCGCGGGATTGTTATTGGTTTCTAGAGAATGTTGTTTTGCTGGGTTAGGTTTTGTTTTGGGATTGTCTCCAGTTGGAGACAGTTAGTTGGGTACTGAGTAAATTGGTATCATAGTTTGGTTGTGTTTGTAGATTGTGCCGGATTGTATTTAATAGTGTAGTTTAATTGATTTAGTATTGGGTTGTGACTGACTCTGTTACGGTGGTTGGTGTCAGGTTGTGTTGTTATGATTCAACAATGGGTTGATTTGAATTCGGTCTCGTTGGCTATTTTGTATTGTGTTGGTTTGTTGTTTGGTTGTGCTTCGTTGTGTTAGTTTGATAGTCGATTGTGTTTTGGTGGTTGTTTGTCTGGTTGAGCCTGGTTGTGTTGTGTAAGTTTGGTATCGGGTTGTGTCTCATTAAGTTATGTTAATTTCAAAGTGGTTGTGTTATGTTGTAATTGTGTTGTGCTGATCGGTAGCGGGATGTGCCAAGTAGGATGAAGTATGTGGTTGTGTCAGATTGTGTTGCGTGATTAGTGTTGTTTTCAGAGAGTGTTGGTTGGGTGTTTTGGTATTCCAGTTTGGTTGTGCCTTATTGTGTTTTGATTGTTTTGTGTAAATTGTATATTTTTATACAGTATGTAGATGGAGTGCCTGGAGCGTCACACAACAAGGCACTTGCTCAGTGACATGCGGCACAGGAACACGAACAGAAACACAAACTAGGACTAAGTTGTACTCGGTTTCGAATGCTGGGAATCCAGAGTGTTTTGGATCAACTATTAACCAGCGTGTCGTATCTTGTACAAATCCACAGTTTCCAGTTTGTCCTCAACCGCCTCCGCAAAGACGAGGTTAGTTTCGGACATTGGCCCTTACTGTAGTTTAGTTTAGTTTAGTTTAGTTTAGTTTAGTTTATTTATTCATTTAAAGTTATCAATCTAACAATTCAAAAAGTTTTGGGCTTATTAACCAATGTTAACAATAAAAATACAAATCATAATTATAAATGAATTTTGCTACTATTTTGCTATCAATTGTGCTACCTTCATTATCCAAATCTTGAAAGTTTATTCCATCATAGTATTTTTTCTAGGATCATCATATTTTTGGCAAAGGAATTGAAAATGCATTTATGTTTCAACCAAATATCATTACTAAGTGTACAGGATTTTCCTTCTACACGATCTTCCTTAAATCTGCCCGTCTCTATCCCAAGTGGCCAAATACATCATACAAAATACCTACTTCATACACTTCATAACATATGTGAGCAACTTTGGATAACCTTTATCGCTACATCCAATGCAGGCATATACATGTAGAATGAATTCCTGCTTCATAAGAATACCAAGGATGCCTAAATGAAAGACCCAATTGAAAAAGTTTAAATATATGTTTTATACAGTATGTAGATGGAGTGCCTGGAGCGTCACACAACAAGGCACTTGCTCAGTGACATGCGGCACAGGAACTCGAACGGAAACACAAATTAGGTCTAAGTTGTTCTCGTTTTCGAATGCTGGGAATCCAGAGTGTTTTGGGTCTACTATTAACCAGCGTGTCGTATCTTGTACAAATCCACAGTTTCCAGTATGTCCTCAACCGCCTCCGCAAAGACTAGGTTAGTTTAAGTTCAAACATTGATATTGAATAATGATGGCTAAATGGAAGAGCAAAAAGGTTAAATTTCGAACTTTATTTCTCTTTTTCGACAGTGTGTAGATGGAGTACTTGGAGCGTCACACAACAAGGCACTTGCTCAGTGACATGCGGTACAGGAACACGAACAGAAACACAGACTAGAACTAAGTTGTACTCGGTTTCGAATTTTGGTGATTCAGAATGTCTTGGGTCTCCTATAAACCAGCGTGTTGTGTCTTGTATAAATCCACAGTTTCCAGTTTGTCCTCAACCTCCTCCCTCAGGTACGTTTTCCGTTACGTTTTCATTCAGAATTACTGCATATAATGTGCTAAATTGTTCAATATTGATAATGATGCTAAGTACTATTACTTTATATATGATAAATGGGTGATGTGCTCAATCAATTTACTACAGCTCTGCACAGCTGCTGTAATCTGTAATGCAAATGCTGAAGTTGTTAACTGTTCAAAAAACATTAGATACAAAGCCAATTCACATCCACATGAAACCTATGAGGATCCACCTAGAACAACAGTTATCAGCAGTTATCCAGAACCATGGAGCATTGATAGCACATACTCCGACTTAAGATTCAGTGATCTTTATGGTACACACACAATTTAGACTTTCCTCTAAAACATGTGAGAATAGCAGCCCATTAATGCAAGTAGTAATTGAAATATAGCTTGTTGCAAGTGTTCACTTTTTGGACCAACCTGTATACTAGTACATTAAAAAATAAAGTTCAATTATTGATTAATATTTTTACTTTTTATTCTTTTTATAGTTTTTACAAAATTTTTAATTTACAATTTATAGTTACTTATCAAAGAGCAAGTTATTACTTAGAAAACAGACTAATTGGAATTTTCATTTAAAGTATGTAACTGGAGTGTTTGGGGAACATGGGTCTACGGAACATGTGTCAGCAATAGATTACCTTGGGCTCCTTCCTGCCCAATACCAGGAACAGTGGCTTGTCATCGAACCCGCCAGTGCATCTGCAGAGGCAAACGAACTCCTGGTGCAATACCACAAAACTGTATTGGAGCTTCAATAGAGCGTAAATCACGGTCGTGTTGTGTAGGTCTTCCCCCACCCCCTACTACCTTACCAACCACACCACCTCCTGGTAAGTGTGTCACAATGTTTACTTTCTATATTTGTGATGTCAATCATGTATTGTGCTTCACAATCAAATCATTTACTCCATAGTATTTGTTAACCCAGAAAACTCAAGAAAAACAAGCCACTTTGACAATATTTAGTGAAGGAGTGAAGGAAAATGGTCTTCCATTCTTATTTTGTGGCACAAAAAATGTTTGACCGGTTCATACAGTGCACTAAAGCTTAACTAATTATACCCTATTCACTCTTTCAATAGTTGAATAGTAAACACAAAAGAAACAAACTTAAAACTATAATTGCCCTGTTAAATGCAGTGCGCTCAAGCTTTTCTGGACTTTATTTAATATCTAAAATCAGATGTATATAAGCGAGACGTTATTATAGCTTTACTCCTTAATTTTTGATATATATACTAAAGCATGTCGCTTGGGCGCTTGGACACCTTGGGTCTACGGGACTTGTGTAAGAAATACATTACCTCCTACTCTAACATGCCTTGCACCTGGAACGACACCTTGCCAACGAACCCGTCAGTGTGTCTGCTTTGGCAAACGAACTATTGGTGCCATACCACAGAGCTGCATTGGAGCTACAATAGAGCGTAAATCACAACCGTGTTGTAACGCAGCCCAGCCGACAACCCCGACTCCAACTCCAGGTAGGGAAACATTATAATTCAATATTTTTCTGTGAAATGCAAAACAGATATCCTCCCGGAAAGTGCATCACAACCTATGTCATAATACTCGTATTACTACAACCCGGTGAATAACACCCGGGAATATTTTTGATATTGAAAATATCGTATTGTCCTGCCTAATCCCGCGCTCACGAAAATCGTATTTACCTCCCGGAAATTTTTGCCTCGTGACAATATGATATTTCCCTCTGGCCCTCTGGGCCCTCGGGAAAATTATATTGTCCCGCAGAATATAAAATCTGAAAAACCGTACTGAGTTCCTCCTAGTAAATTACCAGTATACTTTTTATATCTGAGACACTGTTCGTGAAATGTTCTTGGTACTCAAATCATTTACTCCATGATATTTGTTGACCCAGAAAACTCATATTAACAAATCAAGTCATTTTGACAATATTTAGTCATCTGAGAAAGGAATCTGTTTTTGGTTCGGAGTTGAGTGAGAGGTAATTGGTCTCCAATTCTTATTTGTATTAAGCCTTCCATTTTTCTGGATTTTATTCAATATTTAAAAAAATGCTTTATATTTGCCAAACGAGACGTTCTTATTGCTTTACACCGTTCATTTTTAATATGTATATGTATGTATATAAAGCATGTCGCTTGGGCGCTTGGACACCTTGGGTCTACGGAACGTGTGTAAGAAATACATTACCTCCTACTCTAACATGCCTTGCACCTGGAACGACACCTTGCCAACGAACCCGTCAGTGTGTCTGCTTTGGCAAACGAACTATTGGTACCATACAACAGAGCTGCATTGGAGCTACAATAGAACGTAAATCACAGCCGTGTTGTAACGCAGCCCAGCCGACAACCCCGACTCCAACTCCAGGTAGGGAAACATTATAATTCAATATTTTCCAGTTAAATGCACATAAACAGATACTATTATGCTCGAATCTATATCCCGAGTAAAGTAATGGACATTGTTTTAATTCAACGATACAAGACATACAAAAAGTAAAGATTGAAATACAAAAAAAGGAGAATTCCCCAAAAGGTCTTTATTTCACGAGAAAACAATATGTCTAACAGAGAGTCAGAGTCTACTGGTCGTCCTGTTCCGCAGTCCTTTTCCCGATCGCAAAATGAACATTTTCATCCATTGAAGGATGTTACTGGGGACAATGGGGAGCCTGGGTCTATGGACCGTGTGTGGCTGACGGATCTTCTGCGACGGCAACCTGTCAGGTGCGTGGTGTTGCAGTTTGTTATCAAACTCGGGAGTGCATATGTTCAAGAGGAAAACGTACTTTCAATACCATACCATGTCGTGGGGATCGACGAAGATCTAAATTACAGGACTGTTGTGTTAGCTCTACCACTGTGCCACCTACTACAACAAAAGGTAGTTATCGATTCTACTAAACTGTTCAAATTTTGTACGAAGCTGGCAGAATGTTCTGAAAGCAAGCACGATGTCCTTTAAAGATTTTTACTATTGAAAGTGGATTCTACCAAAACTACCCCACATGAATCTTTTTGTTGAGACTCGATTAACTTGAGATTTTCCGAGATAATGAAGATTTCAGCAAGTGTGACTAAACATTGGGATATACACTATTGACTTTACATGGAATGGAGAAATCATCATATCATCATAGGAATATATACAAAATCCTCAATATCTCAGAAGAACTCAAGATGATCGAGTCTCAACAAGTACATTCATGTGATGGAGTTAATAGAATCCATGTTTGATAGTATAAATATTATGGGGTTTATAAACATGACATCAAAGCTCTGTTTACCAAAGTTTTTTTTGAAAAGTTCGGTTAGCTCAAATTATATAACATACTAAACAAACTATGTTGTGGGTTGTATTTGTACCACCTATATGTCGACCTCATTAAACTGGTTGAAAATGTCAGGCGTCAAAATAGATCACGTAGTAGAATTAAATTCAAACTAGAAAAAAGTATACTGGGAGAATGAGTGCTACATTTAACGTTGATACATGATTCGAAATCGTTTGATCATGCATCAACAATAATTCCAATAACTTGATTAAAAGCAATTGTTTAAACTGATTAGTCAAATTAGGATTTCTTTATGGGTATTTTCGAATTTCTACGTGTTAAACAATATGAAACAAAAAAGTTTTTGGAGCTGTAGACAATTCATTGTATGATAACACGTAATGTTACAAAACAATACATAACAAAAAGAAGCTGACACAAAATTACAAACATGAGATTTCTACATGATAAACATAATCGCATACAGATCACTCTACTATACCTTGTATTTGGTGTTCATGAGCAACCCATTTGGCTTATAAGTAATGATTATGTATTTGTTTTTATTTGTCTGTTATTAATGGTTTATCGGTTAAATGTTAGATGTAGGTCAACAGCTGAGCAAGTTTTAAAAAATAAGTTTGTCCCCTAAGTTTCTCACTGGATTCATATAGATCAAGATCTTGGGCTTATTTTGAGCTTGGGTTCTCGGTCCTAGCCCCGGCAACGAATGTGAAAATTGGTCCTATAGGTGGCGCCCCCTACAATTTGACCCCAAATTTAAAACTAATTATTGTTTTCTTAACTCAAACATAAAGACATCTAATATAGCTTAAACTAATCAATGGTACATTAAATTATGCAATAAAATTTTTGTCAGTGTCTGAAAATCATAATTTATGGAGAAATAATGGATTAACCCCTTAAAACGCCCCCTATTTTAAAGGGGTTACTTAAGTTAACTTCCGTAACTTTTGTATTATTCAGGCTTTGGGCTTAAAAATATTCCTGAATATGTACAATAATGCTGTTGAGAGACTGAAGTAATCCTGTGTTCATAGCTTTTTTACTTTTTGAGAAAAAAAATAAAACGTATTTGCATTTAATTTGGTTTCATTTCATTTCCAGATGAACCATCTTCTGTACTATCTAATTTATATTCCACACCTTATGCCCATGCATAGTATTAATAGTTTTCTTTCATTTTAGACCAATATAGATGACTGTAGTTCTTAAAAATAAAAAATAAAAAAATAAAATTTAGCAGAAATAATTGATTTACCCCTTAAAATACCCCCTATTTTAAAGGGGTTACTTAAGTTAACTTCCGTAACTTTTGTATTTATTTCCAGATAAACCATCTTTTTTCCACTTATCATCACCCCGCCTTGAAAATATATCTGAATATATAGACTTATATTTGTGTCAAATTGTGAAAATCCCATGCACACTCTTTCAGGAAGGATTTGAACGTGAAAATGAACATATGGAAATGGAAATGAACATATTTGCATTTACAGTAGAACCTGTATACAGCAAATTACACCTATAGAGCCATAAAAACATGTTCATTGTAATAATTTGCTCACAACAGAAAAGCGATTTTATACAGATGTCAATGGGGTATGTTCCGAGGGGTGTTCACCAGATACAGTTGTTCACTAGAGAAAGGTGTTTTATATTATTTCAATGTGTTATAATATATTCATTTTAATGTATTTTATATTTCTTATTATAATGTGCATAATAATATAATACTTTCAAATTTCAGACTCATCTGTATAGATTTCATTCTTTCAAAATATCAGAATACTAGTACTAGGTTTTCAGCAATTCCATGCATTCAGCTCTTCAAAAGCTCTTCAGCAAGAAAAGCTCTTCAAATTGGAGGTGTGAAAAGTTCCATGTGGGAAAAATTTTCATTTTGGAATGCTAAATCTGAAATCTTTTATCTGAGTTTCTTCCTCCAGTCATTGTGTGAATAAAAGGTGGGTAAAAGTTGAATGGTCTTCAAATAACTACAGTAGGGTACTCTTATCGATTTAGAAAGTAACTTAATATAAATTGAATTAGTCTTAGTTCATTTACATTTGTGTAAAAGTGTATATTTGATTTATGAATTGAACTGACTGATTATTGTCTTGCTTCAAGTCTCTGAAACCCCCCCCCCTCCCCCATCTGCTTCACATTCTTGTTGCAAGGTTTCAAGAGAATTCCAATGTTTATCATTACTTTGTGTCAATTGATTTCCAGTATGGATTTTTCAAGCATTGACGTTATAGAATCAGCAGCTGCTTCAGTCGATGAGAGAAAATGTATCATTTGTCAAAAAGATGATTCCAATACAGTAACTAGTACTAAAAATGGAAGAGAGCGGATTATTGAGTCTGCTCAAATTCGATGTGATGATGTGAGTGATAGGTTGAACCATGTTGATACAAATAGCTTCGTGTATCACATGTCTAACAATTGTTACAAACAATATACAAATACTACAAAACTTAGAAATATCCAGAAGAAACAATTGGAGACATTACCCAGCCAAGATGAGAGTCCGAGAAAACGACAACGACTTAGATCTTCGATCTCTCATTGTCAGCAGATCCCTAAAGGGCCTGAAATATATGACCAAAAATGTGTGATATGTGGCACTAAAAAACACCATGGTAAATACGAGAAATTTCGAATTTCAGAAGAAAGACGAGCATCTTCATTCCTGAGTGCTGCTGTATTTTTTCAGGTTATTAAGATTTATTGCTTTATTGTCAAGAATTTAATAACAATTTCATTCATTTTTGTACATAGGTTTATGTTTACAGAAAAGATTAATATTTTATAGAAATTAAAAACCAGCCTGCCAAGTGCCAAATGTTTTTGTCGGGTTTATCAGGACTCCTTCATACAGTACTTACACTTTGAAATGACATGTGACACCCTGTATAATTACTTATTTATATCATGCCACCTTTTCTTGCTCATTTTACATTATATATGTACATTTCAGGATGAGGTGTTCACACGTTGTTCGAACATAGAAGACACAGCTGGGGTTTTCGGTGCAGACTTATATTGTCATAAAGGGTGTATCAGATCATATCTAATAAAATATGAACGCTCTGTGTCTAAGACAGCAAAAAGTCACAAGAAGGTTGGCATATTCAACAAAGTAATTCAAAAAATTGACAAGGAACTTGATGATGGTAAATGTTTTTCATTAGGGGATCTAAGTCAAAACGCTAATATCCTGTCAGATGGTACATTCACATTTACAAATTATCAAATGAAACTATTCCTAATCAACAGATTTGGTAACTCAATATCGTTTTCCAGAGTTGGAAAAAATGTTACAAAAGTGTATATGAAAGCAAAATTAAAATCAGAACAACTAGTTAATCATGTTGAATCTTCAAATCCAATATCTGATGTTGCCAAGGAAATCAGAGAATCAATCAAAATGCAGGATTTTGGATTGGAAGATAGCTTTATGGATGCTAATGACCTATCAAAATCATGGAACAATATTTCACTACCTGAACCTCTCATTGAATTTTTTTCCACCTTATTTAATATAAGCAGAGACGAATTAGAAAGTAGTATTGATGATGATAATGATGATGATAATGACAGTAGTGATGATGACAATTGTGATCATGAAGATGTTTCAGAAAACAGAAAGTGCTCTCAGAAAAAGAGGAAAATTCTTGCATTGTTTCAAATCATGTATTATATGCTGCATAGTGGTCGAAAGAAAACACCGCTCCATGTTATGTTAGCACAGGCAGTGCATGAAAAATGTAAAAGTAGGTCACTTATATCAACTTTAAATCATTTTGGATTAGGGATAGGCTCTGATGAGCTTTCAAGATTTCATAATAACTTAGGGTCCTACACTATTGAGAGTCATAAAAACCATATTCCTATACCAAGTCATTTTAATAACAAATCACATGTACAAGGTGCATTTGATAATTTTGATCACAATGAGGCCAATCTCACAGGAAAAGACTCAACCCATGATACAGTTATCGTTCTTTTTCAAAAGAAAGATGAGTCAATTGACAATAAAAAGCCAAAAATGAGTGAAACCAATATAGAAACTGATCAACGTTCTTTCAACAAAACACAGCTTCCATGCCAAAATCTGAAAGACTTCAACAAACCATCTGTAAAGCCAAATATTCCAGAAACCTATGAAGTGTCAGATGAACTTTATGCCATGTCAGAGCAAAAACGGTCAAGTATAGATAAGACTGAACTAGCATGGACCATTAGTCGCTTAGAATTTGAAGATGATAAAGTAAAGTCAAAAAGTGAAAATCAACAAACTCCATCATGGAGTGCATTTAATTCTGTATTCTCTACTCCAGATATTGTTCAGAAAGTCACAGGGTTTGTTCCAGTACTACCATATCCAGTCACTGATTATCAAACAGTTTATACTGCCATGAAATTGTTTATAGATATATTAGATCAGCTTCCTGAACAGAGACAACTAGCTGTTACAAGTGATGAGGGTGTATATCATATTGCTAAAGAAATTCAACTTTCAAGGCCAGATGAGTTTAAAAATTTGATTCTTTGCCTAGGTCCATTTCACTTCATCAAGGTGCTGCTAGGTTGTATTGGAAAATACCTTCGGAATAGTGGTGCAGAAAGTATATTATCTGAAACAAACATATTTGGCCCAAATGTAGTGGATTCAATACTTAGTGGAAGTAATTATAAGCGTTCAGTATATGGCATTTACATGTTGTGTGAAGCAATGGACCGTCTGAGGTGGAGGGAATTTTTCAGAATAAAAGGAAGGGAAAAATATCAGTCTGAATTAGACCTACTTAATGATCTAAAACAATCACTCTTTACAAAGTCTGATGAAAGTTCAGATATTTTACAAAGATTTTGTGATCAAGCTGACAATTTGTTACATGACTTTAGAGAGTTTAATGACACATCTAAGCAACAGAATGAAACTTGGGCCTATTGGAGTCGCTTTATTGAGATGGTTCAGTTGCTTAAAGATACAATAAGGGCAGACAGAACAGCTGATTTTGAACTTCACCTGCAATGTGTCCAATCTTGCCTCCCCTTGTTCAGAGCATTTGACTGCACCAACTACTTGAGATGGGGATCAGTTTATCTGGAGGACATGAGACAACTTGATAAGACATCCCCAGAAACTCTAGAAAAATTTAGAAATGGTGACTTTGGTGTCAAGCGTAATAATGGCTCATTTAATGTTGTTGGCACGGACATGGCATTAGAGCAAACTATCAACCGTTCTCAAAAAAGCAGTTCTGGTATTATAGGAAGCACACAAATAAAATCTTTTGTAGCCAGATGGGAGCTCATACATCATGAAATGATGGCAGTGAGCCACCTTTTCAGTGAAATAAGTGACACTGTGAAATCTAATGAAGGCATCAAAGATGACCTGAGATTGCATGGGGAATATAAAAGGTCATACACTGACACTCTTGAAGAACGTGTAGGTAACATTGTAGACTATATAATCTCACACGATAATCCATTTGACCGGTCTAAAGATCATACTGACTTGCATAATATATTAACACAACAGAAAGTCCCCGATGATATCAAAATACAATTGTTGAATGAATCTACAATAGGACTACATGGATACATAGATTTCAGAGACTCAAGATTCAAAGCAAAGTCAGAAAGAATATGTGACCCAATTAAGAAAGTAAACCTGAAAACTTTTAAGAATTTAAATGAAAAAAGAACTAATACAGCAGCAACGTCTAAGAAAATGGTGAAAAAAGAAGAAACAGAAGCACAAAGAATAATCGATTTAGCAAGAGTTCGAAATTATGACATAGAAAAGTTATTGAAATATGATATGACAAAATCAAACATCTTATATGACTCCGATGATCTTATGAAAAAGCCAGTGAAATCAGAACTAACCACTGAGTTGGAAAAACATTTAAAACCAAGCGATTATTCAACTCCACAACAAGAAGATAAAACGTGCAACATTGGATATGTGGTAGATGTGATGGCAAATGTGAGAAAACTTCGCACCGTTCATTTAAAAACATTTAAAGATCTCGGCAATAGTTTCTTTTCACATGTGATTAATTCCTGCCAATACGCAAAACAAATACACTTTGTATTTGACTCCTACCTCGAGGGGTCAGTCAAGGATTCAGAGAGAACCCGAAGGAGTTAAAAAAAACAATAGCCTTAAATGAAATTACAGGCGAGACGCAATTACCAGTTGATTTTGACACATTTTGGCCCAATGGAAATAATAAAGGAAGGCTACAAACATTTCTAAGAGACCATGCAATGGAACAAACAAAGAGCTACCCGAATATTGAATTCATTTTTGGTGGCACAATAGGGAAAGCTAAACAGCCTTCCATAGGGATCAAAGATAGTAGAGAATATAAACCGGATTTAGACTCAAATTACGAAGAAGCAGATTTTAGAATTGTGCAACATGCACTAAATTCTGTATGCAATGGCTGCAAAAGAATTATAATATTATCTAATGACACAGATGTTTTAGTGCTTGCCATTCATTATTGGCGGATTTTACACAGCCATGGACTGTCAAATCTGTGGACTAAGGCTTGCATAGGGAACACTACTCGTTATATACCAGTTCATTTAATTGCCAATAACATAGGATCTGAAAAGTGCAAGACATTGCCAGCTTTACATGCACTTACAGGGTGTGACATTACCAGCAAAGTTGGAACAAAAAAGTCAGCTTTAAAGCAGGATACCTCCCTAATAAAAGAATTTGGCACTGACTCTGGCACTCTAACAAAAGAGCAAATGTTTAGTAATGCGGAGGAATTCTTAGTGAAAGTATTAAAACCAAATTCTGAATCAACAACTACAATGGATTCTCTCAGATTTAAACAATACTGCCAATCCAAATCTACCTCAATAAGTGATCTCCCTCCAACCAGCTCATCACTGAAATACCATTTGTTAAGATCCTTTTTTGCGACTCATATGCAAATACATATTTTATCAAATACTCAGCTTGACCCATTGGAATATGGCTTCGTTCTTGAAAATGAGATGATCTTACCACACAGAATATTCTGTATATCACCTGATGATCTCATTTTGCCTTGTAATTGTAGTAAATGTGGTACAAAACGGTGCATATGTAAACTGAACAATATTCATTGTTGCATGTTTTGTAAGTGCAAGGGGAGCGGTAAATGTAATAACCCTCTAAACAAGCTTTTAGAAAGTGTTGTAAGTAATGCAATAACTGATTAATCTGATGTCATTAAGATACTGTATGTATAATTTTTAAAAGAACCATCCACTGATATTAGATATGATGTAAATCTATAAAGAGAAACACTTGTATGAGTAAAATATGTTTATGAATATATGTAAATATATATATTATATATACATGTAAGAACCTATGTTAAAACCTATGTTTAGATCATATATGTTTTACTATAATAATATGTGTGAATAACAGTGGTTTATTTGATGAAACAGGCTATATTGAAATCAAAATAAACAAATGTGAACAGCAGGAAATGCATAATATCTCTGTCTTATTAATATTGAACTCACCATTATGAATACCAGCATAATAAAACATTCATTGCCAAATATTTTCAGCTTCCAATGCAAAAACATTTCATGTTACTTTTTCTTAAAAAGTGATAAAACTATGAGCATAGGCTAACTATAGTCTCAACACAAACACACAATTCTACAAATTCAAGGATATCTTCAAGCCCAAATCTTGAATGAAACATAAGTTAGCTGAGCTAGTATACATATCCCCTTTAAAATAGGGGGTATTTTAAGGGGTAAATCAATTATTTCTGCTAAATTTTATTTTTTTTATTTATTTTTTTAAGAACTACAGTCATCTATATTGGTCTAAAATGAAAGAAAACTATTAATACTATGCATGGGCATAAGGTGTGGAATATAAATGAGATAGTACAGAAGATGGTTCATCTGGAAATGATATGAAACCAAATTAAATGCAAATACGTTTTATTTTTTTTCTCAAAAAGTAAAAAAGCTATGAACACAGGATTACTCCAGTCTCTCAACAGCATTATTGTACATATTCAGGAATATTTTTAAGCCCAAAGCCTGAATAATACAAAAGATACGGAAGTTAACTTAAGTAACCCCTTTAAAATAGGGGGCGTTTTAAGGGGTTAATCCATTATTTCTCCATAAATTATGATTTTCAGACACTGACAAAAATTTTATTGCATAATTTAATGTACCATTGATAAATTTAAGCTATATTAAATGTCTTTATGTTTGAGTTAAGAAAACAATAATTAGTTTTAAATTTGGGGTCAAATTGTAGGGGGCGCCACCTATAGGACCAATTTTCACATTCGTTGCCGGGGCTAGGACCGAGAACCCAAGCTCAAAATAAGCTCAAGACCTTGCTCTATATGAATCTAGTGAGAAACTTAGGGGACAAACTTATTTTTTTAAACTTGCTCAGCTGTTGACCTAATGTTACTAAGGCACTTTCAAAAATATACTAAACAATACAATTAGACAAACAACGTATCTTATGCATTTCTAGGTGTTAGGTATAGTAGAGTGAGATGTGTTCAATTGGAAACTGTTATCACTTTTAAACTCTAGACATACTTTAAAGTTTTTCAGGAGCGATCACGGCTACTTCACTCACAATAGCCACTCATAGATGATACGATATCTAAGATATATATCAGTGTTCTCCACAGGATTTTCCCTCAAGTCGGTGCAAAATTCTCATTTGTACAATTCAGACCAAATTGGTCAAAATATTTCCATTTTTCTCATTTCCAAGTGGCTGCAAATGGCTTTTCAGGTATGGGTGCAAGCATGTTTACCAAATCGCAGGTAGGGTTTGCGCCCAATTGTTAAAATACTGGGTCACTGTATTTGGTATATATTCATTGTAGCTGCGACCACCACCCCTCCTGTCCCAACAACTACAACTACCAAAGCGACAACCACTACCACAAAAGCTACTACAACAACAACAAAAGCCCCGGAGTGTCCACAAGCGGCCGGTTATGGAGATTGGGGACCATGGGTCTGCATATCGCCCGGAAATGGAGTAGATTGTAGACGTATAATCAACCTCCCTGGCTACCCCAAAGATTTGAAAAAACGTGGAGATCCACTCGTTTGTAAAAGTATCGAGGATGAGGTGTGCACGCGAGTGAAGACGTGCGTTCCATGCGCAGAACCGGGGCCTCAGACGTGTTTGCAGCCTGTACCGAGGGAGACAAAGATATTTAAGTGTTGTGGTAAGACCTTTTCTATGCTTTCCTATGGTGTCCTTTGCGCTCATTATTAGATTCAATACTTCACGGTTTCTAAGACTTTATTCAAAGCGAATATGACTGAAAAAAATGATAACAACAATAGTCCTAACTTAAAATTAATGCAACGTTTATTAATCAGCTGTGCCATTTATATAACGTTATAGGCGACGAGGCATACATTATGTTATTAGGCTGCATGCATATTAGTATCAAAATCTCTTATTTCAGTTGTACAAACAGAAAAGTGAACCAGATGAAGTTATGACGATTTATAATTATCTGAATACAAAACGTGTAATTTACTTAAACATAATCTGTAAGAGATGAATAAATAAATTATTGTCTGGTATACTAAGGAAATTGGATTTGTTTCATTAGACTCGCGAAACTCCCGATGCATGTACGTATGTTGTGGGGGCGACATACGTCGTGGGGCCGTTTGTGTTACGTTAAGTTCTAATTCTAATCATGTAAAGGGTTACTAGTTATAAGATGGACTGAGTAAAGCAGTGGGTTATTACAGGGACAAATACCATCATCCCTCAAGTAACTATTGTTTTAGGTCTCTGGGACTTTGTGTCAAGTAAAATAAAGCTTATTGTACACAAATAGGACATGATCGGACATTAAGATAGTTATAGAGTAAAATATATTCAGCTGACATGAACAGACAAGTCCGGATATTTTCATCGGACATCAACGAACATTATTAGCCCACCTTATATATGCCATGTTTTGTCCGATGTTGTCCGGCGGACATTGCCTGACGCTGTCCTCTTTTGCACGGTGTGTCCAATGATTAAAATCAGCATTAACTCTTTTCAATGGATATCACCATTACAATTCAAGCCCATTTAATCACGTCCAGATCATATGCCCATTTTGTGACAAAACTACGCTGAATTCCGGATAATCATTAGTCAAAACAGGACATTATTGGACAAAATAAGATAAAGTCGAACATTGCTGGTGAACAACCGCAGACGAGTTTGGACAGAACAGACAACGCCGGACTATGTCGGATTGATGTGTAGTTTCGATTAAGAGGACGACAAGATATAGCACCTGGAGAAAGTGCGATAACAATAGGCTATAAGTCAGGATTTACATAGGCCCTATCATTTTTATGATCATGCTTAATGACTGAATTTGAAGATATTGAATTTCTACAATAAGCTAGATAAAATATTGTAGGAATATCCTATCGTTTTGAACAATATCATTTATATCCATGTGTGGATATTGATATCTTCATGAGTGAGCGAGCGAATGAGGGAATATATTTGTATCCATGCGTGGATATAATTAATAGGATTGTCCGCATATCCCATGCGAAATTATCATCAGCGAAAAAAGTTGAAAAATATAATTTGAGAAAAAAATGAAAAAATAATTGAAAAAATTGTGAATTTTTTTTGAAATTTTTTAAAAATATTTTTAAAAAAAAAGAAAATTTAAAAAGATTTTTTTTGGAAATAATTCAAAACCATCGAATATCACTTTTCAAACCATCGAACATCACTTTTCAAACTATCAAATATCACTTTTCAAGACGTGATATTCGATAGTTTAAAAGTGATATCCGATGGTTTGTGAATCTTTTGCTAAAATATGATATCTTGATCCAAATATATCTTATATCTTCATGTGATATTCGATCTATATCCTTGCAACCATGGAATAAAAAGTAATATATCAGTAGGTATTTTATTACGATACCATTATGACAAACAAGCAACAAGAAAACAGTTGTTTTTCTTTTGATGTCTATAATTTTTATTTAGAAGTCATATCATATCATAAATCATATCAATATTTATTTCAAGTCGGATATTTCTTGTACAATAAACATTAGCGCAAGCGCTATTGACCCACATGCTCTGTATTATCTTCAATTTTTATTTCTGGTGACGTCATGTGTTATGTTATAGTATCAGTATTACTCGTTATCTTTTTAAGACATTTCTTTTTTCTAAGCTCGATCGTCCTCCTGAAAAACACGTATTACTAAATATTTTAATTTGATTGATTCGCTGATTCGTGATTTTGGTACCCATAAATGTTTTTGTCACTCACAATGGTACAATGGTATCGTCATTCTTTGCATCCTATACACTCTTCTATACTCCTTATCAAATTTTTGTTTTTGATAATATATCTTACACTTGTTTTTATTTTGTTTCATTCCTTAATTGTAACATTCTCGATTCATTTGAAAATACCAGGTCTTATATGTAATAAATTATAATATAACCTTTTATGTAACGTTACATCCTAATAAAACTTGAAATCAATACATTTATCTTTTAGTACACGTTTTGAAGATATCATAACTTTCATATTGCAACATTATCAACATCCAATAAAAACTAATTCCAACGTACTTACAGAGACGTCGGAAGAAGGTGGGCACTAATCATCCCGTTTAGGCTTTACAGGGAGCAAACCATTAGCAACCCTGTAAGAAAATTATTTAAGACCTCTTATATGAATGTATTAAGCCGTGACGTCATCTCACCTCTATGATATATTCAACCCTCCTGCCTCTATTACAAATTAATATGAGCGTGGGCGTAGATAGGCACGAAGCAGGCATGGCAACCGCCTCTTCAATATTTTACAGAAAATAATTCAGACGTTGAAACCGTAAAACAAAGTTTCGTAATTCTATTATTTCCCATTTGACTTGATAAAACTAATAGGTGTAGTTGTTTTAAAGTCTAAATTGCATACCACTCCATACCATACTGCGATTTGATGACAGATTAGATGATATTGTATGTACCATTCACACTATTTCAAATAACTAATAAGAATATTTGAAATAAAATGCAGATTGGAATAATATAGGGTCTAGTTTAAAGTTTAAATAGACTAGATGCGAATAGAAATAATCTTGATTTACGTCATTAAACATTCAAAATTCAGTCAAAGTGATGTCATATTTGAAATCTACATGTAAAAGTACATCTAGAAAAATGGTTTCGAAAATTGTTTATCAACTTTGAAAACTTAATTTTTTTTGAAAATGTGACTTCTAGCTCGGGTTGATTCCTCATAGACCCCATGTTACAAAATCACAAAAAGTGAAATATCTTTTCTTGTATTGGACAGATAACATTTTCTTTTGCTGGACATATTTTAATTTGCATAACTATTGGATACATAAGGGTTATATAAAAATTGAACCACTAAAACAGATGTAATTTAAGTTAAAGGGAACTTTCTACTATACCCGCCATGTTATCTGACCCGTACGAGCCACCTGGTGGCGAAAATGGTAACTACCTACTCGCATCTGCGTTATTGCATACACCATTCCTTATTGCAATTTGTTGACAGATTAGATGTCATCTCAGTCAAATAACCATGAGTGCCTTTTATAAGTATTTGGTAATCTTAGAAGACAATAGTCTATTATAGATTCACTTTAATGAAAATATCTTAAATTGCGGCTTAAAACCATTGTGTTCAGTTTCAACAACTTTGTTATAACCTACCTCCGTGAAAACTTTGCCATACGTTTATCCTCCACAAAGTCCTTTGGAACTGATCGACCTATCCCCCTTCTGGAAAGAATTTACCTATTTATTGACCATTTCCCGGTTTTGCACGGAACTAGCCAATACACCGAAGAGCGAACAGTACAGAATATTCATTTTCAAGTATTCATAGCATTCAATACTTAGGCTGCGTTTTAAGTGCCCGTGGCACTATTCAGTTGCAGTGTAATAAGTTTCCCCATCACGGAAAAGAACAATAAGCCCCTGCATTGCAAAGTACATGGTCACGCATTTTCAACAAAAACAGTTCATCCAAGCACCTACACCGCTGATTACGATGTGTCAAACTCGTCGGGTAACCTCGAATGTCAACCGCGTCGAGTAGTTGATAGTGTACGGGAGTTTGATTGCAATAAACCGTGATGTCTTTCAAAAGAATTATGTGAGTGTAAGTGTAAGTGGATGAGATGTTTTTGTTGAAAACATACGAGCATGTTATTTGCACTGCAGGGCTGTTCTTTTAGTGATACCTGGGGTGAAAACTGATTAAAATATTACGCAATTCACTAGTACGTTGGGCATACAAAAATACAGCCTTAGCTTGTATTTGCGAATGCAACTTTCGGCTGTCGCTACTGGATTAACCTGCTATTTTATTGGAAACTCGATTAGATAAGACTAGTACCTGTCATTATTCTATTCATATTTAAATGAGTTGGTCATAAAATATGAGGTAAATCCGGTAGCCGACAGCCGAAAGTTGCATTCACAATACAAGCCTAGTCATGCTTTACATTGTAAAGTTTGTGTAACGGCATATGCTTGTTTTGTTTAACCTAATTAAAAGTAATTGTTTCACTCTTAATGCATTGCACTTGAAAATAAGCTGTCTGGCGCATGAAGACTTATATAGACTTTAACTTTAAATTTAAACTCGTCATACAGTGAAATGGTCAACTGCCACAAATGGAACTAATAACTCATCATATCGTAAAATGAACTGGCTGCAATGGAACTTATTACTAAATAACTCGTCATATCGCAAAACGAACAACTGCCAATAATAAAGGGGCATAAATGCTAACCCAATCCGCCTGCCTGGTGGAGGAAAGTTCAAATGGGAGGTAGGAGCTAGGTACTCATCATTCCGTTTAGACTTAACAGCGAGCAATTCATTAGGTTCCCTGTAAGAAGAGAATATTAAAATTATATGAGTGTACTCGGCTGTGACCTTCATTCACCTCTATGATATAGCTGACCTCCTTGTCCATATTCTTGCCAATTAACGAGCATGGGCGTAGCCAGTCCTGGGGCAGATTGGACAATCGTCTCTCAATCATTTTCCAGAAAATAATAATTCAGACTAGACGTTCCTTCAAACTGGATCAGTGAAAATGAAGTCTTATGGTTCTAACATTAGGGTCATTCGAAAAGTTTTGCACGAAAAGAGAGATTTTATCATTTTACATGAAATTTGAGACAGACATAGTATCATCCTTCATACAAGCATATATCAAATTACATTACCATAAACAATGCACTTTCTGGGATACATTGACTTTCAATTTTGAACCAATGGGCCCATGGTCCATATGACGACATTAAATTGAATTGATTTTGTGAATGCCTTGATAGACTGAAATTGTTCGATCAATCTTTGTTCTTTGAGCGGTTAGTCAGGTTATGTTATAACTCATTTATGTAGTCTTCTTTTTAGTAATGCATTATATCTGTAGCATTATGACCAGTCCATAAGCAAATGTCTGAACCAGCCATTTCATAACTACAGCTACCCTCGGCACATTTTCCTTTCTCTTCTAATTCCATCTTGGAATACTTCGCAATGCCTATTGTATTAACACATGAATGTATATAACTTGTGTACTACTATTTCCCCATTCTTTAACATGTATTCTATCAATGTTTTTTGGTTCAACTTTTTTATTTCGAGACATACGCTCCAATAGTGTATGTACTTTAACGGTCATTCTTTGGCATGATCAAAGTGAACAAGATGAGAAATATTGATATAAGATTCACTTTTGCCATGAGAACAAAACTAGATATTGTTTGAATCTAAGTTGACAGTTTACGTATAAGTAAAAGTATACTTAGTAATATTATTCTTGATTAAATACTAGTTTTCTTTTTACAAGATGATATGGACCATAGCGTCATCACCTTGATTACTATAGCAACCACAATATGTTAAGTAGTAGAGGTATGAAACCTTGACAGTGTAAGAGAATAAGATGGGGCACATACCTAACAACTATGAACAAGATTGGTTCATTATTGTCATAATTAGATATATTTGTGCAAAACTTTTTGAACAACCCTTGTGTGTCCTTTTTAACTCAAATGCCTCGTCAACTTAAATGCCTCGCCTGTCTTAGATCTTGGCTACGCCCTTCGTAAGCATTGAGACGGCTAACAGTGATATCAAAATAAACTGCACGATATTGTTTTAACCATTTTAAAGCGTTATGACTATGAAACCTACCTTCTCAGAAGATTTGCCACGCGGTTATCTTCCACAGAGTCAATTGAAAGCTTTGGACCTATCCACCTTCTGGAAAGAATTGACATATTTATTGAAAATTTCTCAGACCAATGAATTAAACAACATGCAAGACAGAATATACACTAATACTAGATCTCAAGGATTCGTACAATGCTAATACCTGGGTCACATTTGCTCTGATCGGCCGACGCCCGGTGTGAAAGAAACGATTGTCCCCCAAGGATTATGGTCTACTTTCTTAACGGCTCTTACTGGCCCTGATTGTGTATAAAATAATGAGGGAAAGAGTTGTATTTAGGTCACCATATAAATCAATGGAGAGTCGGACCACAATTTGAAAGAACCTCCAACCCTTTTACACCGGCCGATTGAGTGTTTTGTTCAATATTGTATTCAATTTTGGACAAAATACTCAATCGACCGGGCACCGTAGTGAAAGTCGGAGCAAATGTGACCAAGGCATAACTTAGTTATGCTGCTTTAATAGCAATTTAAATTTGTGTAACGACATACTTTTATATAATATATGATTGTTTTGTTTTAGCTTAACTAATTGTCATAGTTCATAGTCATTTGTGTGCAATCTTGTTTTATTTTGCCAAGGACACCTGGTCCTTTATTCAGTATTGTAGACATACACCTCATTTCTTTGTACTATGTGTATTTTACAGTTCATTGAATCCTACTAATTTTAGTCAGGTTAGTGAGCTATTGATCTAGAGTAGTCTATCTATAGGATTCATGATATATGTGTAATTGTGATTATCACTCTGCCTAATGTCATATTTTACACATTGTTTTCAACAATAAAGCGATTAGAAATATGAAATTTAAGTAGAATTCTGGTATCTTGTTAAGCATATGAACATTACTCCGTGACACTAATGTTTGACACTTTTAAATGTATTGTACTTGAAAATAAGATGTTCATTATCATTAGTCAAACAGCAATGCATTCTTCGTTTAGTACAGTTCTTCTATAAGTTATCAATGACGATACCTGCTTGATAATAGCTTAAACATTTTGAATATGCCAAAAGTTGTCATTTCATGAAATGCTCATGCAACTGCCAATTATGGAACTCATAACTAAATAACCTAGTATGATATCGTAAAATTATCAACTGCCTATAATAGAACTAATAAGAAAATAAATTCATATCGATCCATATCGTAAAATGGTCACCTGTCAGTGATGGAACTAATAACTAAATAAATCATGATATCGCAAAATGGCCACCTGCCAATAATGAAACTAATAACATCGCAAAATGGCCACCTGCCAATAATGAAACTACAGGGTAACCCAGAACTCATGAGAATTTTTTGAGGGAGCTATAAGGCATGAATGATTTTCCTTCAAATTAAGTGCACTTAATAAACCAACATTGAAGAATAACTGACATGAATTTCAGGCACATATCTTTTATATTTCCGAATTTATTGACATTTGAATTCTACATCGCCACAAACCCTGGAGTAGTTAGAGAAATACAACAATTTACGTCACATTTTGATAATATTTATACAACTTCTCTACTCTAATAGCATTGTTTTCATTGAATTATTTCAGCATTTCAGTACATTATTTAATAGGATCATACATATTCAGCTAACACATCTCTACAGAGTTATTATAGCATATTATCTGCAGTTGATGTCGTCTTTTCAACTTCTCTTTATACACATTCCCAAGTCGTCCAATAGCCATTTATGTAGGGTCTTCTGAAACAACATGACTCAATTCTTCCTCCGTTTTAACAGTGACATGGTTAGGCTCACCTTTGTTTAAGGTCCCCAAATAAATCAAAAGTCTAGTAGAGCAAAATCTGGCAAGTATATGGAGCTACTATATACTGTGAAGTCTCAATAGAAAGTAAATTGGATGCACTACTGACATGCATGTAGTGACTTATTCACTGGTGCATTGTCAATATGCAAGATCATATTGGCAAACAAATGGGGACATTTCTTTCAGTCCCTCAGGAACATGTCATTATGATCTTTCAGCAAACCAAATGTACAATCTGTTGATGTGTTGGGTCTCTATCAAAGTTTATATATCGTTTTATCAAAGTGCATCATCAATATGAGAAAAATGCTGTACTAAGCTTATAAATACAAAAAAACTTTGGTTTTATAGTTGAGAATTTGTATAAAATTGACAAAATGTGACATAAACTGTTTTTTTTGCCAGATAACTCCGGGGTTTGTGGCGATGTAAAATTCAAATGTCAATAAATTCGAAAATATCAAAGATATCTGCCTGAAATTCATGTCAGTTATTCCCCAAAGGGTGTTTAATAAGTGTACCAAATTTGAAGAAAAATCACCCATGCCTTATATCTCCCTCCAATAATTCTCATGAGTTCTGGGACACCCTGTAATAACTAAATAAATCATGATATCGTAAAATGATCAACTGCCAATAATGAAGGGCCGTAAGAACTTATCTGAACGTACTTGTCGGAAGGACCACGCCTGTGATATTCAGAGTCGGATGAATTAGATGGGAGCAAATCACCCCGTTTAATAGATTTTACAGCGAGCAAGCCATTGGCATCCCTGTAAGAAAAATAATATTGTTGTGGTTGTGACGTCCACTCCTCGGTGATATGTTTAGTTTCATTACCTCTATTTTTCCAAGTTAATAATAGTGTTCAGTATTGGAGGCTAAATAAATAAATAAATAAATAAATTAATTAAATTAAATAAATAAATAAATAAACAAATAAATAAAATTATACAACCTGGCATGACGCAGGTTAGATAATCGCTTTGACAGGACATAATTGAGACGTTAATTTAGTCCGAAGTAATAAATAAATGAATAAATAAATAGATAAATAAATATATACATGAATACATACATATATAAAGTAACCAGGCATGACGCAGGTGAGACGATCACTTCTCAAACTTTTACAGGACATAATTGAGACGTTTATTTGAACCGAATCAATGACAATAATGTCTTATTATTGCATTTTTTCCCATTTAACTTTAATTTGCCTCTTCACTGGTCAGTATCAAGCGTCGCATCAAAGATGGCGGACGAGGAGTGTCGATTTCGATATTTTTAGTTTTTTTTATCGAATAAACTACTTTATAGTTAACGTTATACATTGATATATTAACTAAATAGCGCTATGACATGGTAACTATGGAGTATGATAATTTGTTGCCACGGTTCAACGATATCTTCCACGGCTTAAGGGAAGGTAGGGACAGTTGTCCCTATTACCATATCTTTATTATTTTTGGAGAAATGATTTTATTTGTCTCCCCGCTCCCAATTTCTTTCCATTCCATGGCTATTTTAAGTTTTTAAGAATGACTATTCAAAAGTTATGAAGACATCTGATTTCTCAATATCAGCAAAAATGCAATTGTAACAATGTGGAAATAATGGGACGAAATGTCTCCTGTTCATATCTGGAGGTTCCCAGTTACGGGAAATCCTATTGCTATAAAGTCTTAAGATGACCTAGTACGGATTGTTCGTTTTTAAATATTCTTGGCGGACCATTAGATATCATTTGTTTAATCAACTCCATGTTCACATCCCCCGAAGTACTCAAAATCCCAAGGGATTTTGCGATTTAAAAGTATGAAACATTTTAGTTCTTTTCGATTGTCACTTGCAGACTCGTGTACGTCGTATTCGCATTATAAACACGATTTTTGAAGGATTTACAAGCTTAAAAAATTGTTTTAATGATATTGTATACATACGATTCAACAATACTTTTGATGATATAGATGGAAACGTAATCAGATAATTGGATGATTCCCAAAAACACCACAAAACAACCGCAAAAATATTAAACGGCACTCAAAGATGCACCATATTTGCGTTTTGATTTGCGGCAGGGTAAAACATATCGCAAGTATTTGTCCACTTGTTGTGGTTGTGACATCCACTCCTCGGTGATATGTTTCGTTTCCTTACCTCTATTTTTCCAAGTTAATAATAGTGTTCAGTATTGGAGGCTAAATAGATAAATTAATTAATTAAATTAAATAAATAAATAAATAAATAAATAAATAAACAAACAAATAAATAAAATTATACAACCTGGCATGACGCAGGTTAGATAATCGCTTTGACAGGACATAATTGAGACGTTAATTTAGTCCGAAGTAATAAATAAATGAATAAATAAATAGATAAATAAATATATACATGAATAAATACATATATAAAGTAACCAGGCATGACGCAGGTGAGACGATCACTTCTCAAACTTTTACAGGACATAATTGAGACGTTTATTTGAACCGAATCAATGACAATAATGTCTTATTATTGCATTTTTTCCCATTTAACTTTAATTTGCCTCTTCACTGGTCAGTATCAAGCGTCGCATCAAAGATGGCGGACGAGGAGTGTCGATTTCGATATTTTTAGTTTTTTTTATCGAATAAACTACTTTATAGTTAACGTTATACATTGATATATGAACTAAATAGCCCTATGACATGGTAACTATGGAGTATGATAATTTGTTGCCACGGTTCAACGATATCTTCCACGGCTTAAGGGAAGGTAGGGACAGTTGTCCCTATTACCATATCTTTATTATTTTTGGAGAAATGATTTTATTTGTCTCCCCTCTCCCAATTTCTTTCCATTTCATGGCTATTTTAAGTCATTTGTTTCATCTAAATATGCATGGAGTTACAAAATAGTGAATATATACGCATCAAAATATTACACAATAACTTGAGGTACAGTATGTAAACAATAACTGGCTATTAGTAAATTGCATTTACCATTGCTAGTTTTGAGAAAATAAATGTTCTGCCACCTCGGTTTGCCTGATTTATTTTTAAATGTTTTTCATGAATCGGTAGTTGCTAACCGAAAGTTGCATTCGAGAATACAAGCTTTGTTTTCTTACCTCCTAAAGAGGTTTGCTATGCGATCGTCCACAGAGCCCTTTGGTAGCGATCTTCCTTCTGTTAATACGCTACACACTAATGCAACTGCAACGCCAAGGCACATCCTCGAAAGTGACTGCATCTGATATACAAAAAAACTTACTAATTGTCCAAGGAGGATTGGCTCCCAGGATCGACACTGATCGATATTTTCCAACAATGAAAACGTCGAAATGTCGTTATTTTCTAAGATTATAACCGACTATAAATTCAAAATAAACAGTTCAAAAGATTCGAACCAATATCTCGATCATTTCTTGTGAGTTTTGGAATTTTTCGTTTGGAAATAAGACCGAAATGCACGATTCAAATGTCGAAGAGAACAAAATGGCGGTTGTTTGAATTCGAACTTTGTATCACGACATGCCCATATATGAAACAGAATAACGAAGTTGCACTCCGGGAGCCAATCCTCCTTGTTGATTGTCCATATTTTGAAGTAACGATGGTAGGTCAACTTATTTTGGAAAAAAGCTTTTTAACAATTAATACTTGAGAGTTTTTAGAATCAGACTAAAATATGAGTCCGTGTCACGTTAAGGCAATACCAAGGTCAATGAGTCTCATTCAGAGAAGTAGGTTATTATATACATAAGAAATAGATTGAATAAAATATGCATTCAAAAATTTCGTTATTAGAACACAATTTACTCGGTTCAGTCATTGGCGTTATTATTAAAAAAATATCATGTAATAGATAATGACTGCATATGTTTGCATATTTCAAGTTATTTAATTTGCTTCTAAACAATACACATACCTCAATCTTGAATCACCGATGTCGTTGTTCTTACCTTTCGTTCTCCTTTCTTGCTTAACAGCTGCTTGGGTGAGATGAATGTTCGGTTTTATACAGCATCTGCGATAACCATTGGCAACAGTTGTTTGTTAGACTTGTTGTTGATTGGTTCTAATAAAATGTGTTGTCAAGGGAATCACCTGCTTCATTAATGCATCTTCTCAATATGCCGTCTTGAATAGTCCTACATATAAAGTTCAAATCTATCAATCTTCAAAAATAGTAATTTACACCCTAACATTCTGCAGGGGGATCAATTCGACCCCCCTCCCTCTAGATGTTTTTCGACAGTACTTTTTGCAAATTGTTTTTCTGTCTCCGTTATTTTCCTTGAGCAACAGATATAAGACACTTTTTGGCGTAAAAACCAAGGTGATTAGGGGGTAGAGGGGCAAAGTTATGGTAGTTGGAACTTATGCCAATACAATTGAAATTCATGAAATATTGATTCTTAAAAGTCGGATTGACCCCCGCACCCGGCAGACGTTTGGGTCAAAGGTAAAAACAGTTAAAGGAATATTCCTTGCCAAACCATCTCTCTCCTCATATGGTAGCTATAACCATATATATGCTTGCCATGTTTAGCAAAACACGCAAAAATGTTTTGATATGGTCAAAACGTGTTCACTTCACGAATTTGAGAAAAAAATATATTTTTTTCAAAAACTACTTGTTAAGTTAATTAACTCTAGAACTTGACATCCTCTATCATGTATGCAAGTTTGGAGAAAATCCCATTAGTGGTTTTCCTGAAATCGCGATGACAAAAAAGCGGGAAGCTCACCATCACGATAACGAGCCGTCTTCGTGACGACTAATGGAATATTTGATGATTGAAAAAGTTCAACTTTTATTTGAAAAATGGCGGGAAATTTGAGATATTAAAAACTGACAGTTTCTTCAATTTCTTTTTCAAAAATCTCTAAAAAAACTCTTAAAGTCATGACAAATAGTAAACGAATGATAAAACCAGATATTCAAACTTAACATGGGGACTTTAATAAAACCAAATTGACCCCTATAAGTTAAGTGTCTTAGTCGATAATATAACACCTGGCAAATTGAAAATATCAAATAAACTTTATTAAACATCTTCAATATTCCAGCTGAAGTTTTATTACAGTTTAGGGAAGAACCAATGACACTTCTTGTTTTCAACGCTAAATATAATCGTTAATATAATGTATTTATGGGATGTCTTTAGGGAACATCATTTTTTATTCAATAATAACATGTTTTCCCCGGGAAAATAGTTCAGGGAATAGAATTGATATTCAAAAAATCGCATATCAGATCACGTATCAGCCAAAATTCCGTATTGGATCCCGTATCAGCCAAAATTCCGTATCAGAACTATAAGAAAATTTCAGGAGACTAATATTGTGTTATTATAGTATACTATGATCCGAATGTGACAGTGATATAATAATATACAAATATTGAATGATGTTGAGTGCAATACCTGTATATATTTCTGGGGGTGTATTCCAATCAATATTTGTTTTATTATTTCATACATATTAACAGTTTAACAATATTAATTTATTAACTATAAATTGTCTCAAAAATCGAAAATTGGATAAATAATATAAATTATTTCTATTTTAAAATTTGTTAATAAAAGTTGAAAATGTCATTCGATAAATTAGATTGTATCATTTAATGCCACCATCATTGGGTGACGACATCCAAAACAAGTTTCAGAGAAATACTATGGAATAAATAGGTTATTGATAGTCGTGATAAAATATGATTTTTTCCTCGAGAAAATATGATATTGGCCTCGGAAAATATCATATTAACACTCGTGCTGTCGCCCTCGGTCAATATGATATTTTCTTTGGTCAATATCATATATTTTCCCTCGAAATAAGATTCATACTCCATCCCTCCCATTAAATAACCTCTATTTATCAGTTTGGTCAGAGCAATATCAGGTACAGTATATAACGCCAAGTGATAAATCACATATTTGGGATAGGGATTATATCAGGGATGATATTGGAATTAGCGGGGTGATATCAGGTTTGATATCGATATCATCCCGCTAATTCTATTATCCCGCCCGGGGAAATCTTTTGGGGATTTTCTGTGGTTCTTTTCCCATTCGCGTCATCTATTTAAATTAGGCTAATTTCCAAACGACATTTTTATGTTTTGACAGTTATGATATGAAACACATGTAACGTTAATTTTTCAAAAATTATATTATTGTTTTCTCATCAAACAGATGGTTTTTGAGGTAGATATTGCTCTTGACCCCCGGGTCTTGACCATGCTACAATGTATAATGTCGATATTCACCCGTCGGGATGATATGGGGAATATCCCTCGGATATGATATCGGTCACTGCGTTCCCTCGGGAAATATTGATATCATCCTTGTGATATTCACCACATCAAATCCCTCCGCAATAACGTATTTTTATTTATTTACTTCTTTTTTTATCGACGAAGGGTGATATTGATATTTGCACGAGAGAGCGAAAGTCGAGTATATTAAAAAAATGATATTCCTCAAAATCATAGTATGTTCTTATTATCCTACTCTTATTGTACAGGGTAAAACGCAACCCAAAGAAATTGCTATTTTACAAAATACTAGTCCAATTGTGTTCATTTTTTCAGGAAAGAAAGAAGAGACTGTGTATGCAAAGCTCCTATTGTTAGTTAGTTGTAAAACATGATGTCTTGGACACCTGCTCAAAGGGCATTAGAATCAGAAAAATATGAAAGACATGAATGGAAAAGCGCTTTAATATTGGAAAATACTTTATTTTTTCAGAAAAGAAAAAAAGAGACTGTGCATGTAAAGCTCGATGGCGTGGTGAATTTGTGGAGTTTCATCAAAATCAGTCCAGGGACTTTACAGCCATGGTCAAAAAGTCCCTGAAGTGATTTTGATTTCACAATATAGATACATTACCATACATTGAATGGAGATGATTTGTGCCAAATTCGAAGAGCCAAAACACTATGGTGAAAGAGTTTAGTTTTTTGCAGTTGCAGTCACCCGTGACTGCGTTTTTCGTATTTTTCTAGTACAACTGTTTTTGAGCATCATGTCATCAAGGCATCATGTTTTACAACTAACCATCTACAGTAGCTTTACATATGCACAGGCTCTTCTTTCATTTCTGAAAAAATGAACATAATTGAATTAGTATTTTCCATGATATAGCGATTGCTTTGGGTTGCGTTTTTTTTAAAAAAAAGAAAATGTCTAATGGTTTAAAAAAATGAAAATAAGTAAAAATCGAAACCATCGAATATCACTTTAAAAACCGTCGAATATCACTTTTGAAACCATTGAATATCACTTTTTAAGAAGTGATTTTCCATTGTTTAAAATTGATATTAGTTGATTTGAGAATGAGAATTTTTTGCTAAGATATGATACTTATCCACATATCAAATATATATTCACGTAATATTCGATCTATATTCTTGCAACCATGGGATAAAAAGTGTATAAATTCAACAAGTTTACTTAAGCAAGGAAGTATATTTATGATTTTGGAGTCTTATGAAGTAATCCGTTCGCAAAAAAGCTTACATTGTCTGAAGCATAAAGCCCCCCTCACATATGAACGAAAACCCCTTTACGTCAACTTGCGTATAGTGGCGAATAGGAAATTAGTCAAATTCGTTCTCATTAGTACGAGTTCGTGACAGTACGTCGCAGTGTTCGTATAGATGCGTTTGTCAGCGTTTACCTTGGTTAAAATTAGTCTTTTTCGTCGGAAAATTTTGAACATGTTCAAAAAATTTCAGCGAATAAAAGTTTCGTGTGTCATTCGTTGAAATTCGTTTCAATGCGTTAACGATCGGTTAACCTTCGCATTGGCTTCGTCACAGGTCGCTGGGGATAAGGTCGTATCCCCATAGTTTGCATATCAAGCGACTGACGAACCATTACGAACCATTGCGGCAGTTTGCAACCTTGTACGCAGTGGAACGAATACTTACGAATTGGATATACGTTAAGCTGGATAATTGAGAGAATGCCAAATTAAATCAAATAATTATTTTGTCATGGAAAACACAGATCGACTGAGGCTGCAGTATGTGGCTGCTATGGCCCAGCAAGAAGTTTTAACGCAGCAACTTAAGGACAGGGTGCATGTTGGGAAATTTTCTACATTCCTCAATTGAGTCACATGTTATTTTTCAAACATGAATAACTCCTTCCCCACATTGTCTACATCTTCCAAGTTTGCACAAAGAATGCACTTATGTGCCTAGAAAAGCCTTGTGAGAAGGTTTGTTTTGTAAAATGTATAAAAAATGAGAAAATTAAGTGAAAAATTTTTCTGAAAATTTTCTGATTTTTTTCACTGAATTTTCTTGTTTTTTATACACTTTATCAAAACAATCTTCTCACAAGTCTTTTCTAGGCACATAAGTGCACTCTTTGTGCAAAACTTGAAAATATAGACAATGAAGGGAAGGAGTGATTCTTGTTTGAAAAATAACATGTGACTCAATTGAGGAATGCAAAAAATTTCCCATCATGCACCCTGACCTTAACATTCATGAGTTCATCAGAGGCCGTTTTAGGCGGAGAAGGGGAGCCAGAGGACGTGGCATCTGGAGGAGACAATGGTTGAATCCAGAGAGACGGCGCCAATTCGGCATATATGATAAGCTCATGGTGGAGCTGAGAAGAGAGGACCCCAGAACATTCAAAAAGTTCCTCTGTATGCCAACAGAAATGTATGACGAAATCTTTGAGAGGGTCCGTCCTCGGCTATGGAAACAACATAGCTGGTACAGAGAGCCTTTAGGTCCAGGCCTCAAACTAGCTGCCACTATTCGCCACCTGGTTTCTGGTGCCAAGTACTCTGACATGCAGTACTCCTGGCGGGTTGCTGAGAATACCCTCTCTGTAGGGCCTGTAGTGGTAAGAGAAGTCTGTCAAGCTATATGTCGTCCCATTATTTCCACATTGTTATAACTCACTTTTTACAGGTTTTGAGATAAGTATACTATCTTTCTCAATTTTTCACGAGGAATTCATTTCTGAGGTCCATTTCAATGGATCTCATCTCCGTTTGGAGATATCCAGTGCCACATTGTTATAAGTGCAAAATGAGGAAAAAAAGATTAGGCCCTTGTCATATCTGTTTGGGTAGGCAGTAGAGCCAATCA